ATCTGCACTCCAAGGCCCACAAAGTCCTGCACCTGCCACGAAATTTGCACTTCAAGGTCCACAAAAAACCAAGAGAGGTTGAACAGCCCTATAGGGCATCCCATATGTACCACTACAGGGTCCTATATGGTCTGTCAACCTCTCTTGGAAGTCCTGCGCCTGCCACGAAATCTGCACTCCAAGGCCCATAAAGTCCTGCGCCTACCAGTGGCCACCAACTCTGCACTTCAACATCCACAAAGTCCTGCACCTGCCATGAAATGTGCATTGCAAGGTCCACAAAGTACTGCACCTGCCGCGAAACACTACGACTACCGCTACGATACTGCTGCTATTATAGTCCGGTTGCTACTCTTACTGCTACTGTTATTTTTTTGCTTCATTAAATATTTTTGATGCGTGTGGAATATTTTTTTGATGCGTTAAATATGTTTTTTGATCTCTCACCCGTTGGCATGTGTTGCAATGTTGTAATGTTCAGCGTCCTCCTTCACTCAACAATCAAAGACTGCGGAGATTCGCAAGAGCTTTGGTCTTTTCTTCTGTTCTTTGCAACGAGTTTCTCATGGATCCAGCAGTCATGAAACTAGGATAGGCAGCCCGGGCGGCAACCCTTTGGCCCGTCCCAGGGCGTTGATGACCAAGAGATGGTCACAAATTTACAGACCTTCCAAGAGGTGTCTATAGCCTCTTAGGGGATTTAGAGGTTCAGTGTCCAAAAGCCGCCTGACTTGGAAAATCCTGCTAGAAGAAACGGATCTGACAGATCTTCACCCTGCTGCTGTCAGATCATTGACCTCTCGCTTTTTCTTTTTTGACCTCTTGACTCGCCCGTCGTGCTCCGTCTCTCCACCTGTACCGATGGAACGGTCACCGTCACCCCCGTCACCCGTCTCAGGTGGTGGCAGCGGTCGTGGGCTATGGCACCAACTGGGTGGGTGTGAAGATGTCCCACCGACGCCGTTGGTGTCGGGGACGGACGCCGGGGACGCGGACGACCCGGCTCCGGACTGCGGGGCGGTGGAGCGGTGTCGGTGACGCGCGGCGTCCGATGCGGGAGGAAGACGCGGAAGACGATTTTGGGGCGATGGGCGATGGGGACCGGGGGGAGGGAACCTTTGGAAAGGATGGAGATCCAGGATAGTAGCTAAAAGCCCCACAGAAGAAGACCTCCGACCAGTGTGGAGTCGCTGGAGTAGAAAGGGTGTGAAAGTGATGTTCATGAATCTCCCTCTTTGACCAAGAATTTAGAGGTTTCATGTGTACCAGAGCTACCAACTGCTGGGTTTCGTCAATGTCTCCTGCCAGCATCTCCTGCCGCCTGCTTTGCCAGGATCTTCTACCCCATCGAATTTTTAGGAGCCACTTGTCTTCCCCAAGAATTTCCCGAGCCTGGGGAATCGCGGGGGGTTGCGGACTGCGGGGGTTGCAGGCCTGCGGGCGGCTAGGGTTCATCAACCAGCCAATGAGAAAATACATGGACGGTGGTGTGATTCCGAGTGCAAAACTGCCCTGCCAAGTTGACTGGAAGAAACCTCAGACCGCGCGAGTCCAAACCGCATGGTCTTTCGGTGATGAGACCTCAGGACGTGTCGTAGTACGTCGTTTTTCTCGTCGAAGTGTCGCAGTGGAACGTCGCTGCGCATCGCCCAGGGGTCAACCAGGTCCACTTCCGTAAGAGCGACGTGAAGGCAGGTACAGGAGATGATGTTACGAGGAGACCCTCCATCCAACAAGTATAACAACTGGCAAAACGACTTCCTTCGATGGTTGAATGGAGGGTCAGACCACGTTCAAGCAACCAGAACCCATCTCACCAAAGGATCCGAAAGAAGAAACACCTCACCATCCTCACTCCTCAGCCCATCGGATGTGGATCCCAGGGCCCAGCTCCAGAGCCGAGCTTCCTGCGATCGGAGGATCCGACCCATCGTGGCATCACAAAGACGTACCGTGGTCTGTTCTTGCGATGGAATTCGATCTCTGGCTGTCTTTCATCATCTTTCATCCCTTCCATCCTGGTTTTCTCCGCGTTCTCAGGTGAACATTCGGAGATGGCCGGAGACGCCTTTGGGCTTCATAGGCCGGAGCTTCTCCTTCCACCGCGCCGCACCGCCCGACGTCGGCCCGACCACCGGTGGAACCCGGCGGGCGCGTCGGCGGTTTGCGGAGGGTGTTTGCACGACGTACAGGAATATGTCGATGCGTGTGTACTCGTAAATGTCCAGGCAGGCGAACATGCCAACAAAAAGCCAGGCGATCTCGTGCTCAAAATGGTCGTGGGCGAGCAAGATCGACGAATATTCTACCCCAGACAAACCATGGGACTGGCATATACCCCTACGGTGGTTTTCAAGGGTCAATATGCCATACATGATGTTTTTGGGACGTTTGTATGAGATTCCGTGGCAGAAACCGAATCGACTGGCCGGGTCTTTGTGTGTATGGCTTTGTGTTTGAAGATCTCGTTGAGGAGTGAGCTGGCTTGAACACCAAGTCTCACCAGTTTGGGGAGAGAGAAAACACGCCGGCGACATTTGGGGTGGTCGGTGTGGAAGTTGTGTAGGCAAACCCTTAGCCACTTCATTCGACGATCTGTTGGGCTCCAATTTGGGGGTGGGGTTGGAGGGTCCAAATACCTTCTGAGGAGGTACTTGGAGCCGTACTCGTAGGGGATTAAAGGAAAGCGAAGAAATCTTGACCTGGTTTTGTAGTCTAACATCGTTATAGTAAAGCAAAGGTACATTGTCGAGCACATTTGAGTGCAGTAAAGTAAAACAAAAGGTACTATAGAGAGCGTGTCACCTATATTATAAATATGATGTATGTACTATGATACACCATCTCAGCTTGGAAGCTTATAGGATAAATATATGTCATAGAGTGTCACCAGTAAGCGTAGGTCAAGGATGATCACTGCTTCGGAAACAGTCTTCGCTGTCAGCATCTACTGTTGCTGACGGTTTGGGTATTTACCGATTCTACCCAGTATATTGTTGATAGAGTGTTTGGGTATTTGGCACCATGCAACATCCTTGATGCTTGAAGAAACCGAAGCCGCCTCATGAAGAAACTGCTCCTACAGCGGCGGGAGACCATGATCTGCCCGTGGTTTTTTGGTTTCAGGTTCCATGTCGGTATGGGACGTGGGTTTTCTTTCATGAATTTCAAGGCGTGTGCACTGTGAGACGACGGTGAGATGTTGAATGACATCAAGTACGGTAAACTTGGCTGAATGGATTCATTCTGGCTGCAGGCTGGCAAGGCATTGTGCCTTGCAAGACAGGCAAGATGAGCAGGCGCGGAAATACGAAACACCATAAGGGAAGGAAGGAAGGGAAGGGAAGGGAAGGGAAGAAGGGAAGGAAGGAAGGAAGGAAGGAAGGAGAAAGAGAGGGAGTTGCCGCTTTGATACTACGCAAATGTACTCTCAGTACTTACTTCTTCTGCCTACATTGTTTGGAAGCTTTCAATCAGCCTCCTGCTACATAAAAGACAGAGCCACAGAAGTTTGGATGTCCTTATAGGATTTGTCGAGAAAAGAACATGTTTGTTGGTTTGATTCACGACTATGTACGTGACACTTTCGGAACTGATTGCATAAACAGTTTACCAACCTGCCACGTTTTAAGAAATAAAAATAAGACACACACACCTCCTGACCAAGCAATCAAAGGTGGTTCGCAGCTTAGCATCCACTATTAACATGCATATTTGCAGAGTCCTTGCGGTTTGACATCAGAGCTCGCTTTGGTGTGGAGAGGAGGTCTTCTTAGTGATGGCAGGCCACCCATATCCATATAATGCAAACTCTTGATAGATAAAGCCCCCAGATGATCCCAGATGAAGAGGTCTTTCCATTCAATTGGGTGGTTTTACCAATCAAGAGTCTACAGAAAACACCTGCAAAAGTCCATTCTCGGCGTTCACCAGGCGCCTTGTGGATATCATCACGGAGAAGCTCTTGAGTCTCAAAGAGGCCATCGGACTTTCCGGTGGTTGCGGCGTCTGAAAACTGCGCCCACCATGTCCGAATCGGATGCCCAAAGAAGACCAGTACCATTTGTCCTAATGACATCATCCAAAAAGGGACCACTTTTTCCTGACATGTTTCCTGACCAGTTTTTCTCTCTGAAATCCCTTCTGAAGATCCATCCGTCACTGGCGCCACAAAAAGCAGGCGCTTTTCGCTTGTTGCTTTTCGCTTTCGCTTTTCGTTGGCCAGGCCTTCTCCCGCTTGGATGCCGCCGAGTTGGCGCAACGCCTGGAGCCGTCCCGTCCTCAGACGGTGCGACGAACGGCGGAGTGGGACGTGCCAAAAATTCGGCGGAAAAAGGATGAGACGCCGGTTACATCCATGGGATCAGGGCGCTGCTCACAGATTGGAAATGCTTTTGGGATGCTTTTTTACGTGTTGTTTTTTCCAGGTGCTTAGGATTTTGGGAGGATGCCCATGTTGTTTCGGGTACCTGCATTCATCAACACTGCTAACATTCGGCCTATCCCAATGTATTCTGCAAGAAAAGCACTGACGTAGAAGCTCCTTGCTCATTGCAAGAAGCTGGCAGCCCAAACCTCGCCAACCAGCTTGCATGCACAGGGATTTCCAGTGGTTCGACACCCAGCTTCCATCGTTGGTGCCAGATGGCAGTGTCGATACGGATGGGTATGATGTGTCCACGTCGGGGGCTGAAGGTCGACAGAGTTCCGAGGGAACTGGAGACCCAGGGACTGGAGTTCAGATGGGTACTCAGGACGTACCAGGATCATCCTGGACGGTGTCCAATAGACTACTGTACCCCTACCCTATACAGGTCTCCTACTTCAGGGCACCCAGACAGGAAGTGCTAGGTATGAGATAGGGAGACCTTTTTGTGGAAGGAAAATCGATCCAAAGCCCGGCGGAGTCTCCCGATGTTCACGCCCATTCGAAACCGGGGGTTTGAACTGATCGTGGGATCATATGCCGTTCCCATGAAGTGTTAGACATATCTAGTACGTTAGATATATATTGGATAGACCACGATGTTGCACCACTTGCAAGCCCAACATTTGCCTTCCTGTCATATCTCAGTTCCTTGCCATCCTCAAGTTCCCCGCTCGCCTTTCGGCTCGGCTTTCGTTAGGTCAGTGGCATATGCCATCGAGCATGATGCTGCCTGGGGCGAGGCGCGGCGTTCGTACCGGCAGCACCGATGGGTGATCCTGTGGGGGGCCCTCGGTCTACGGTTGAAGTCGAGGAACCAATTGGTGACCCCAGTGACCTACGGACGTGGTTTCGTTACTAAGCATGGCGGGAGGATTAGACCATACACACATCAACATGGGTGTTTCGGTTCCAACAAAAAATAGACGTGTCACTTGGAAAAAAATACGCTTTGTTAGCTTGGCTCCTCACCGTGGAAGAGGTGAACACAAGGCGCGGGCCACCCTAACTTGGATTGGCTTGCTTGAGAAACCTGGAAAAACAAAACATATTCCCCAGGTTAGAGGATTGACCCAGTTCGGGAAAATATGTCTAATCACCTGATTCACTAAACCAGGCGACTAGACGCTTTGCATCCACCAGGTCTGGATCAGTGTGACTCGGCCACAGCTGCGCAGCGTGCTGACGCAACTGGTCCAGGACGGCGGCGGTGGTTTGGGTCACCGGCGGGGTGGGAGTCGTTCGTTTTGGAGGGCCAAATGACGATCTCTTTGCGACAGAGTGGATGTAAATGCTTAACTTCAGACTTGTGTCATTGGCACTTTTTGCTAGCCAAGAGTGTTCGCTATATCATGGCAAAATATATCAAGGCTACGCAATAGATCAGAAGTGGTATATATAAAAGTCTTTCACCTGGATTGGCCTAATCACGGCCTCATCTTCCCTGAACATCCTTGCCTTCTCGCGTCAAGGAGATGCAAAAAGACATTGAGCTGGGGTGCCCAGATGCACCCTGCAGACATTTGCAGTGTCCAAAGCTTCAAGAAGATCGAGAAGTAAACCCGTGGTTATGCCAGATTTGGGGGAACAGACATGTGTTCTCTGTGGTCAGGTCAGGTGTCACCACCACAGTGCTCTGGACTTGCATCAAGCCGTGCCAAGGCTTCGAATCCGCCCATCGAATCCGCGAATTTCCCCAGCAGTTTTACCAGCCACTGGATGAAGTCATTTCCAGAGGCCCAGTCAGTCGCCTTCCCCCAATCACGCCGAACCAGGAAAAGACCATCGCAATCTCCATTTCGGTCTCATTGGCACCTCGTTGGCTTCTGGTGTCTCCACCCACCTCAACTGAGTGAGGGGGGGGTGAACTCACCTCGCCGGCCAAGCAACACCCAAAGCAGCCAGGAACCTCTTAGATCTACGGAAGGTCGTCTCCAGCGCCTTCCTCAAAGACAAGGCCCGGCTCGCCGCTTGCGCGCCACCGGTCGGACCGATCGAGTCTCCAACGTGGGACCGCGCCTTCGGTTGGACATGGGGAGGGCGGTCCTAGCTTGGGGGATGAAGAGTGAAGGGTCTTTTGGGGGTTCTTTTTGGGTCTTTGAGACTTTCTGAAAAGCTTCAGAACTAGTGATTTTAGGGATCTACTGAGCAGCAGTTGGGCTGTTCCTCATTGCTGTGAAGGGGTGGACGTCTGACTGTGCGGAGTGAATGCCAACGGGTTTCATGGAGAACAGCGAAAACCTCAACCACCTGATGAATGTGTTTGGAAAGACCGGAAGGAAAAAAAATGGTGCGGTCTCCCAAACAGACGGTTTTTTTTGATATAAGAGACTCCTCCGTCTAAGACTGGTTGCTACCGATGATGGATGCTGTGTCCAGTCTTCGGCACTTGGTCGTTGCTCCTTCGAGGTCCGACCCACCGGAGCTGTGCGGGTCTGGCCCCACCCACGCGCCACCCGCCCCGCGCCGAACGAGGTGCTGTTGGGCGAGCTCTTCCAGAAAGCGGGCCGAAAGGTGGGAGTGGAGTGGAGTGGAGCGTCGCACGGGGGTCGCAGACCGCAGACCACCCGGGGTGGTCGGTCGCCGACTTGGCGGGGTCGATCCCAGGGGTGTCCGGACGAGTGTCCGGACTCCGAGTGAGGTCGCGTCCATCTGAGGCTCATTCGGAAGCACGCGTTTCACCGGTGAAAAGCATTCCGATTCAGAGACCCAGAAGAAGAGGGAACCGGAGGATGAAGAAAGAGACGGGGCTTTTCCGAAGATTATGTAAGATGTATGTAGTGGGTGAGAACGGACGTGGATTGCATGGCCTGGTCGTTCTTGAAAACGGGGAATCCAAGAGTGTTGTTCGCACACGACACCAGTTCTCAGAAGCATTTGCCTCTCCACCTCATAAGATGGGATGGATCCTGAAGAAGAAGCCGACTGGTAAAGAGCCCAAAGACTTCAAAAAAGACTTTGAGACAGCCCATGTTTCTGCTGGTTTTCGGACAGCAGCAGATAGCTGGACAGCTGGCACCCCAAGGAGGTGGTTCCTGCAGCCCACGAGGGGCTATACGGGTGAATGCAAGCGGTATAGGTGTACGGGGCAAGCAAAGCGGAAGAGGCCGTAACATGACAGAGCAGGTAACATGTGGGACGAGGAAACGTTGTTGATTGACGTGTGTTCTATAGGAAAATCTCGCATGCAGTAGCAAAAGAATAGTATGGCAGCATAGCAGCACTAATCTCTTCCACTCACCACATGTTTGAAGACTTGTTTTTGCTTCAAAATCCATGAAGCGCTCTTTTTCTCCATAGCTTTTGGACTCCCCCACGGAAAAAGCTATTCCCCGACGCAAAAAAAAGTAAAGAAAGCAAGAAGAACACCCACAAACCCTCTGCAACCCTCTGCAACCCTCCGCGCGCTATTTAGCGCTTTTCGGACCTCCAAAAAAGACACCCTTTCAGCTTGTCATCAACCCTGGCCCACGACCAGGGTGGGACACCGCACCGACAGGAGCTGGAGTTCTTGGTGAACTCCGGCCTCAGCTTCGGCTCCTGGGCTTTTCCCAACGCTGTCTCCTCCAGTCGTCGGAGGTCGGTAGGTCGGTCGAGGAGTATGTCCGGCCCAGACAGCTGACATGCTGTCCGGTGGAGTATGTCAAGTTCCGAAGTGGATGAGTTGAACATGTTATTTAGCTGCACACCTTTTGATGTGTTTTTGCAGTGCTTGGGGAGGTTCTACCAGAAGCATCTACCGAAGATGATAAGATAGGTGTACCAGACATCCCTCATGGAGCTCAAAGCTCTGGAGACCCTCATGGAACAGAGGAGGACCCAGGTACACCAGACATCCCTCCAACGTATTGATGATGTTGAGGAGGCTTCTTCGGGGCTCGACTGCGCTGTGTTAGCCCCAACCTGCTAGCTTCTTGTTCCTATAGTAGTACGGCCAGGAGCCCCTAGTAGCGTCCGAACGCTCCTGTAGCGATGCCAGGAGCCCCTATTAGCTTCTTGTTCCTAGTAGAATGCACATGGACATCCATGCTGCCGCCTTCGGCCACCACGAACATCGTCTCTCTTTCCGCCCAGTCCGGGCAGCCGCCCATCCGTCTCATCCAAACGGTGGCCAGTGGTTGGCGTATCCAACTCTCCTAGGTTTCTTTCTGGGCATCCTACAGATGCTATTGTGGATTTGCTTTCCCAACAACTGGGTGCTTCCAGTAGGCACGCACCGATGGCGTTTGGGCGTTTTTTGGCATGCGGGGAACCCGATGGGAGATCGTCGGGTGGTCTTTTTTTCGCCTAAGGTTGATGATCAACTGGGGTAGTGTCGGGTAGTGTTGTTTTACATGGTTTCATGTTTTCAGGCATCGCGGGATGCGGCCGTGTTGGAAGACGGATTGGACCATGGACCGCGATGCCATGCTTTTGGGCATCCAACTGCGGTGCCCAACTGCAGCTGTTGGCAGCTGTAAGCGATGCCACTGACAAGTCCGGTGATATCTGGTTTCTTCCTGCAAAATCCAGGACAACAAAACGAATGAAGAAACCAGATATCACCGTTTGACCCGTTTCGTTGCCGTTTCTACATCCCCGTTTGACCCGTTTCTCGTTGGCCCAAACGGTCAAAACGATGGACGACTGAAAGTCATCAGCTCCACGGGAGCGAAAGAAGGACGAATCGGTGTCTTCATGGCATGTTAGGGAGCATTGGGAAGCTGTGAAAACTGACTCTGAAACAGGAAGAATTCATGGAAAAGCAGAGCAGCAGATCTGTGAAGAAACAAGGCGCTTTTGCAGATGGTGTAATGATAATGTGACTGCGTGCTTAGTAGGGAATGAGGGTGACTGGATCCAAAGGAATCTCTATTGGGGGCTCATTCCCTTCTCTACTAAGCACCAGTCAGATAATGTGACTGTGCTTCTTAAGAAGAGTTGGTGTCAAGGCTCAGCTTCAGAGGTCGAAGCTTCCTGGGTCACGTGGAGCTTTGCGAACCCAGGCACAGAATCCCCCTGACCTGGGTGACCAACTTCGCTAAGAGCTGTAGCAACCTCAATGAGCAAAGATCTCTCGAATCAGTTGATTTCGTCCACTTCTCCTCACTCTTTCGCTGTGGATCTTGCACTCCAAGCTGATAGAAAGACCACCTGAAAGAGAAATCAGGGGAAGGTGAAAGGTGCGTAGTTATATGGGTGTGTAAGTGGGTGTGTATCTTAGCAGGGAGATGCAGGGAGCCCCCAACCAAATGGGTTGACTGGTCTATTCCCCTTCTTCCAGAGGGTCGAACTGGGAGGTCTCCCTATTTGAGCTACACATGTATAGTGTCGTGTCGTCGGTACGACTCCCATACGTTACCCGTTGGGTCCGATGTGAAGGACTGGACCAGTCGCCCTCGTCGTCGCGGTCGTCCTTCGCGGGATCGTTGGCGGCTTCGATCCAGCGGTCGTTGCAGGGGCGGTTTCATGACTTCGTTCTTTGCCACGAGATTCGACTGCTGTTTTTCCATTGAGCAGTTGGACGGAACCAAACGATGGCACCGTGCTGTCCGGTTTGATTTGGTTCATCCACGGAACACACGTCAGAAAAGAAGAGTTGACAACTTAGATATCAGCAGTCAAGTAAACTGTTGATGACATGTCAAAAAGCGATTGGAAAACATATGAAATCATATTGAAGAGATGGGTTAATCAATCAACGGTTTTCATGTTCCTGTTGGTGTTCAGATTTGAAGTGCGTGGAAAATGAGAACCCCAAAGAAATCCAGACCCACCCCATGACTCCCAGAATGGGTTTAAGGGAAAATCGGAAACCATGCTGTAAACAACGGGTTTCCAGCAGATGTTTCCTCAAACCAATTCTGGCCATGAGCTACGTTCGGGGCTCCTGGCATCGCTACGAACGGAGCGTTCGGGTGCTACGAACGGGGCTCCTGGCCGAAGCTAATAGGAACAAAGGGCACCGCGAACCGAACGGAGCGTTCGAAGCAAGCTACGCCGATGTCCAGGTGTCCTGGCCGTATCTACTGCGCTCGTCTCCAGTCGTTTGCGCCAGGAGGGGCGCTGGTCGGGTACATCACGTTGCGCGACTTAGGGATGGAGGGATGGAGGGCGTGATCGAAAAGAAACGCCCAACTGGAGTCTTTGGTTGGGCCTTCAACTCGTTTTCGACGTGAAGGAACGCGCCCAACTCGTTTTAGACGTGCCTCGTGTCCATTCAGTCTTCAGTCTCGAATTGCAAATAGATGTTCCAACCGAAAAACCCTGGAAGACTAACATGGGTGTCTGAAAACCACGTGTTGGTAGAGGAAAACCATATGCGCTGCAAACCAAGGGCTCACGACACTGAGCCAGTTTCTCTCCATCACTTGTCGCCGGAAAAGTCTCTGTGTCCTGAGCTCTTTCTTTTGCTTCCAGAGTCTGTTGCAAAGTGCTTCCGGGTGATAAAAGCTTCAAAAACGGCAGAGACGCCTGGTTGGGAGATGCCCTTCTCCATGGTGACTTGCGCTCATATCTCATTGCAGCTTTGAAATCCGGTGCTTTGAAATCGAAAAAAGAACATCGTGCGTCAAACGTGTGTCAAGTCTGACCAGTTGTCACCGACATTGTCCGTTCAAGAAGTCATGATGTGCTGTGCATGGCTGGGAAATGGTGAGCGTCCTGGAGTCCTGGAGGCTGGCAACAACGACAACACCACGCCCAAACAACTGCTCCACCAAGCCAAATACAAGCAGGCGAGAGATTCATGAATATAATCCTGGCCTAGAGGCGAGGGGAAGGAAAACCACGTACATCATCTCGGCATCTCCGCATTCAGTTGGCGAGCCGAAGGCTGTGAGGCTGTTGCTCCAGCATGGAAGAGAGCGCTCAATGACACTAAGGTGTACATTGCGTCTTATGGTTCGGCCACGCCCATGCTGGCAAGACCTTGCAGGTTACGGAAGCACGCCCAACAACGTGCTCGTGGACAAAAAGCTGGCCTCATCAAACGTAATCCTTAATCCTACGGGGGATTACGGATTACAAACTATCGGATTGTCCGGTTTGGGGCGGATTACGGATTAGAACTCAGAGCCCCCGTTTTGAGACTAGGATTACGGATTAGAGCTTTGGATTGTTTGGCGTGTGCAGATCCTTCCTATAAGTGAAATAACTCTGATCCTGGAGCGCCTTCGGCTTCACAATCCAGAGCCCCGAGTTCAGTGGTTTGAGTTGGTTGCTTCCAAATCCTATGGCCACAAGCACCCTTCACAATCCCGATGGCCACAAACACCCCTCACAGTCCAGAGCCCCCCCAATTGAGTGGTTTGAGTTGGTTGCTTCCAAATCGGGGGTTGTGAGAACAAACACCGTTCGCAATCCATAACCCCCAACTCTGTGGTTTGAGTTGGTTGCCTCCAACTCGGGGCTGTGAAGATTCCTATGGCCACAAGCAATCCCGATGGCCACAAGCACCCTTCAATCTAGAATCCCCAATTCAGGGGTTTGAGTTGGTTGCTTCCAAATCGGGGTTGTGAGGATCCCTACATTGGATTTATGTATCCAAGCCAACAACCCCCCATTCAGGAGTTTGGATTCTTTCCTTCCTAAAACTTTTAAGGATTACGGATTGTAAGGCTGGGTAAGGATTACGGACTACTGCGGATTAAGGATTGTTCGGATTACAAGCATTTTTCGGATTAGCAGGATTGCGGATTAATTTTGTAGGCGCGCTCATTTTGATGAGCCCAGAAGAGCACTGGCTTTCGTTTTGCAGCTTCTCAGGTTGCAAGGTTGGAGCGCTGGGTTGAGGGCAGACATCAGATGGAACGACGATTGTTCAGGTACATCCCAAAGTGGTTTCCATTTGCCATCCAGATGCTTGAGCCTTGGCACGCGCATGTTGGGTCTCACAATTGTTTACAGCGTGTATCACTCCATTTCGTCCCAACTCTGGCCATAACACTCTCACATCAGAGTGACGCAGGACCACCATTCATTGGAACGTGCACTCTGAAGGTTCCTCCAAGCTGGTCGGTGGAGTGCAACAGCTTCAGATGGGAGGCCAAGGTCCACTTAAAAAACCAGCACTTGTCAATCCTGACTATGTCCAAACATCCATGTTGAGCAAACACGCCGCACTTCTTGAAACCCTTAACAGTTGCGGCGTTTCTTCCTGAGTGGCGTTGACTTTGACCAGGCGAAAGGATGGCACCCATTTCGTGCTCCAAGCGTGCACTCGAATTGGATTGAAGGTGGGCCCGGAATGGTGGATTCGGGTGTCAACATGTGTCAATTTCTTGCTTACAGGATTGCAGCTGTTGGTGACAGTGTGAACAGTTGAGAACGGCACCAGTGGTCTCATTGCAGGGTTTCTTTCATTCCGGACACCCGGGAGAAGGGATCGACAGTGTCTTGGTGACGCTTGACATCCTTCGCACACATGCACAGGCAGGCCCGAACTGGCTTTGCGATCACTGGCCTTGCATGGCTTCAGTCATTTCACTTGGGGTTCTTTGCTTGCACCATTAGGCAGTCAGATGCCTCAGCAGGAAGGTGAGTTGACTGAATTTGATGGATCGCATTCGCACACTTTTTCATCTTCATTCCCGAGAGCGTCTGCGAAGGGTTCTTCGTAAAAAAACATCTGCAGAATATACACCTCCTCTACATCTTCACATCTTCACCTCTGTACAATCACGTTCTCACCCCTATCTCTGCTCATCTTCACATCTGCACATCTACATCTCTGCTCATCTTCACATCCTCACATCTACATCTCAGCTCATCTTCATCTTCACACATCTACATCTACATCTCTGCTCATCTTCACATCTTCATATCTACATCTCACATCCTCACCTCTCGCTCTTCTTAACTTTCTCTCTCAAGGCCGGGGGGCAGTGCCGCCGGACCGCCACGAAACGCAACCCTCTGCGGAGATCGTGCGTGTCAGACGCGCGAAATGCAGGCGAGAGTGCGATTTGTCTCTGTCCGTCGCAACCCTCTGCGGAGATCGCGCGTGTCGAGTGCGCGAAATGCAGGCCAGAGTGCGATTTGGTTTTGTCGCGGGCAACCCTCTGCGGAGATCGTGCGTGTCGAGTGCGCGAAAAGCAGGCGAGAGTGCGATTTGGATTTGTCCGGCGCAACCCTCTGCGGAGATCGTGCGTGTCGAGTGCGCGAAATGCAGGCGAGAGTGCGATTTGTCCCGGTCGCGGGCAGCCATCTGCGGAGATCGTGCGTGTCGAGTGCGCGAATGCAACAACTTTAGTACGCGGAGCAATCTGTGGAGCTGGAAGCTGAG